TTAGGGACGTACTAATGAAGAGAAAAAATGAGACGAAGACAGGCCTGTGCAAGCTACTGGCCGTGTGTCCCCAGCGCTAATTAGAGATAGAGATACACGATACTGTCGAAACTGCGTTGGGATGCGCAGAAATAGCCTAGGTCCATTAAACAATGCGCCGAGTGAAATATGAACGCTTACCCAATGTCTGGCTTGAAAAAAGACAATTACGAATCCCGTGCCATGTGATGTACAACCGCCCAAATCTTTACCTACCACCTGCGAGCGGCGACTGTTCTATGCGTCGGGTCCATACGATGGGGTAGAGTTGCTAACAGGGCGAGGGCAGGTGCAATGCCCTGAAAGGGTACTTAGCTAGGCTCGTATGCTAGGTTCTTTCATGAAGACGTCACTTTCTATTACAGTAGAATCTCAATACGATTGCAGGTTGATGTGAATCTTGCGATGATAAAAATTTCAAGGTGATTTCGGATGTACTGAATATTGTAAAAAGCACTGTGGTTCAGTGTTACAGTAGACTCTTGATGATACAAATTTAAAGGGAGCAATCAAAATATTCGTATCATTCAAAATTCGTATAAACCAAAAACCAGTTAAAGCTGATCATGAAGATGAACAAGAACTTTATTGGGGTCAACTATTACTTGCTGAAAAAAAGTCCATGATCTTTTGAGATACCCTGCCTTCATTGTCACTTAACAAAGGGCCATGGTTTTTTCACTAAAGTTTGAAATGGCGAAAAATAGCAAAAAAGTGGATTTTTGAATAAGTGCAGTATCGCAAAGTTCAAAATTTAAAAATCTCCCGGCGAAATCTGAAAGCTGTATTCAATCTAGAATTATTTAAAAAACAGCGTTTTACATGCCTCGGTGGAAGTGAAATGACCGAAAATTGGCTAATTATGTTCGAAGTTCGCACGCTCGTAACTTGTGTACACGGCGACCGAGCACAGTCATCTTAGTGTTTTTGAAGCTGCTTTCTTTGTGTGGCTTTTCCCTATCTTCAAATTGTCGCCGGTGCAGCGAGAGTGATGCTACCACTCCTTTTCCAAAGGTCGTTTGCGCGCACGTGATTCGTCAAAGCACGCGCTCCCCTGAGGTGCTGGCCTTCTATTGGTTCGTCGCGTTTGTTTAGCTTTTTTTTTTCCCCGGTCTCTCTTGTGTGATCCTTCACTCGCTCTGCTCGGGCTTTCGGCTGCTCCGTGGCCTTCAGGTTCGCAAGTTAGTATACTACCATGTTTTAACTACTGCGATTATTGAGCTGCTCAAATTTCCGAAGACGTTCTGAAGAAAACTACACGCTGTGTATTCGGCAAGAAACGACTGTGGCCATGAAATGCCAAACAAAATTTGGTGAGGCATATCCCGCAATAGCTGCTGGATGAATTGAACACGCAGCTGCATTCACCGTGGATGCTTGGAATGCCAGCACAGAACTCGTCATAATCGCGGAATTGCCTGTTGACAGCACCACTAATACAGCACCACAGCCCACTACATCTAGCGCGTGTGCCTCGTTTAGCCATGCCTCGAGTGCTGTCGCGGAACGCATCGGCGATCGTCTGTTGGCAGTTTGTGTACAAAAACTCAACTTGGCATGTGTAGTGTGTATATTTTGTAGGCCCAAGCCTGGAGTGTTATCAGAAAACGTGTCGATAACGATTTCTTATCAACTGAAGAAAATATTCATAGTGCAGCAAGTGCGGCCGACGTGAAAAAGCACTTGGCGTCAAGTTGGACACTGAACGAAAATTTGAACTTCTCGGCGTCGACATAGAACAGGGAAACTTCAGTGATAGTGGAACAGGATTCTCTATCGTACATTTGAGTGTGTTTAATTACCTTCTCGGACTTATGATTCGCGCCGACTGCGGCGACAGTGTCCAAGGAGCGAAGAAAAGAGGACTCGATGAAACTCGTGATGGCATGCTCAGGCATGCACAATGAGCGATTTGCTTCACTTGGGATGACTAGAAATGCATCAACAGCGTCATTTATACGGTCGAGCCCGCTTATAACGAACCTGAGCGTGACACGGCATCCGTTCGCTGTATCCCGAAGTTCATAGTAAATGAAACACAACTTTTAAGACAGTTGTGAGTAAAAACACAAACTTCTTGCCTAAAAAGTCCGTGATGCACGTGTTTCGAAGAGCAGAAGCGATAAGGGCGGTCTCTAGTTTATTTCAAACGGCAGCGAGCTTGTTCCCCGAGGCCCATGGCAAAAGCTCCATGAGGGACGGGCTCCAAAGTGTCATCGTTCTCACAGTTCGATTCCTCCAAATCGCTCTTGGCACGTACTTCATTCAAAATGCCCTAATTCATGCACGGCATCATCATCGGCTGTAATGAAACTATCGCAACAGATGTTCCACCCGCTCTCCCGTGTCAGAGTCGACGACGCACAGCCACAAATCTCCCCCGAAGTGATCCTGTTCAGAAGCTTCAGGCTCTGCATCGGGCCCGACGTTGACGAAGCCGGCCTCGCGAAAACAGTTTCGCGCGCATGTCGCCATTACCGCCGCCCACAAAATATTCACCATCTACACAGCTGAATAGCGGTACGCCCGAAGCGGCAATGGCTGCTAGGTGGTCAACAGCTATGAGCAAGCACTCCGCAACGCGGCACCTAACGCGTGGATTATGCTCAAGCCAAGCGGTCACACTTTCGACGTTTTGTTGAGCGACAGGGGAAAAAAAAGCGTGCTAGTCCTCCCGTCACTACACACGCACATCAAGAGCGAGCAAGACGCGCACACGCGACACACATGCCAGAGTGCGTGGAACAGGTCTGGGCCAGTTTCCAGTCAGAAAACTAAACTTATTTGAGCAAGCGTGGGGGGCGTCGCGAAGCGGTGGAGACGGGCGAAGGGGTTGTGATCAAGAGAGGTGAGCAGACTCGCGAGAGAAGGGCAAGGAGTTGCGATAAAGAAATGGGAGGATGCGCCGGAAGGGCAACCTTGAAAACCAAAACACAAGGGAAGGAGGCAGGTTGGGTAGCTTGCTTGAAAGATCCTCAAAACTCGCACGCAGAGAAACTTCGAAAGAGTGCATGGCCGCCTGAATCGGTGTGCGTGGCGATGTTCGAAGAATCGGTGGCCGTGGTCAAAAAATCGTTTTGTTGTGCCGACTGGTTTCTGTGGCCTCACGAACTGCGATATTTCGCGATTCATTCCGCGCTAATAGCCGTTTTCGCGCTTCCGCACGCAAGCGAAAGGCATGCTGAGCCGAGTGCGAAGTGAGCGAGAACAAGTCCTAAACACGAAACGAATCGTAAATTATCAGAGTCAGTGGGGTAGCATACGTGCGTCTGGCGATGCCGAATGCTGAGAGTAGCGGGGAGACAAAGAACGGAGGGGTGCTAACAAAAGCGGTCGGAAAGAGCGGCAACTAGAGGGACGCGGAGGCAGGGTCGACGTTTAACAATAAGAATGTATGGGCACCTCACCGATGCCTTATCGGTAGTCGCAATAGGTTTCCCGGGAAGTCGGCAGACAGCTGACTCTGTTCACTGTAACCGATCAGCCGCGCTCAGAGACGTTCGTTGTAAGTGTGATTTTGTGCCATTGAACTAATGTATATTTTCACGGTCACGCGGATATTGTTCGTTTTAAGCGAAAGTTCGTTTTAAGCGAGACCGTTATATGTGGGCTTGAGTGTATATGGAACAAAGACCATGCAGCCAGAATGCCACAAAAACCAAGCTCGTGAATAGGCACACGCCAACAGTGGACACTGCTTACAATTCTGGTCAGCTGTTAAGTGTAAATTCAAGCCCTTGTCATTGCGAGATTTCAACTAATGCTAATTTTTTCCCGTTTATTTTTGATTGATTGATTGATTGATTGATTGATTGATTGATTGATTGATTGATATGTGAGGTTTAACGTCCCAAAACCACTATATGATTATGAGAGACGCCGTAGTGGAGGGCTCCAGAAATTTAGACCACCTGGGGTTCTTTAACATGCACCCCCCCCCCCCCCGTTTATTTTTTTTTGTGACCCTGACCTAGGTGCAAATAGCCATAGGACAAACCCCATAGGCATGTCATTTTTATGCACAATGTACACATACAAGCTGAAATACAGCAGTGAAGTGTTTGGTAGCAGCTTTCTCGCACTATTTACAAGGACTACGCATGCTAATGCAGCAAATTTTTCAAGGTTTTTTTTACATTATTGTAACATATGACATCATCTTATTACTGAAGGGCAAAGCTACATAATGATCCCTTTATACAGTTATGTTGCTTATGTTGCAATACCACATAAGTTTTTGGAAAACTAAAACTTCAAATGCATTTTTTTCAGTTTCATGATTTTAGATGTAACAAGTAGCCTTAGGGCACGTTCTGACATGTTTTTGTTGACTCACAATAACAAGTTTGATACCAATGCATTCGTATTGAATAGATCTAGCCGGTGATGCTATTAATTTCTTTCTATATGTTCTTAACCAATTTGTAATTCATGATTATAGTAAACAATATAAGGCAGAACGTTTTCACTCACGTTTGTATTCACTTATTTTACATTTGCAGAATGTTGCAATCAATAAAGTTAGCATCACTGGCTAGACCAGCTCTCTGGCAATCTGTATATATACTTTTCTTTTGTGTTTAACATGGCGAAATTGCCAAAAAGCCCCGTAAGAAATATGTTGTTTGTGTATTAATAAAATTTAGTATCTTTTGCTCTGATGCAGCTATAGAAAATTTTAGAGATTTGGAATCTGCCAGAAGAAACTGAATAAGGTGTATTAGGTTTCATACAATTCAGACAAATAATAAAAAAAAATTTTCAAGACCCACGTCTCCCCTTAAAGAGCATTCACACTTGACATCAAAGGAGAGAAAGCAGCAAAACTTATTGGACACATGCTTGTTGGACACATGCATACAGCAATATGCAGTTTCCTCTTGAAACGTTTTTACCAAGATTTCACTCACTGAACAACTTTCAGCCAACAAAAATTATTTTTAAAAAATAAAGCAACTCACCCGGTTAGTGAAGTGGCTCGCTTGTGCAAGGCACCCAATGTATTACCTCCATAACACTTGCCCTGAAAAAGGGTGGAATAAGTACCAGATATTTTCTCGTGTAACGCCCACGCCAAGTTCGCACTTTACAAAACAAAACAAAAAGCAGTGCATATAACCCAGTCTTCGGCACTAACTAGTTATTAGTAATGCATTACCAGTAACTAGTTGCTTTTTTTCAATAACTTAGTTTAACTAGTTAGTTACAAAGTTGAGGAACTTACAACTAACATCCTTGTCCTCTCTGATCATTTGCTTCTCACTTCACCTATTTAAATATAGTAATTACTTGTGTAATGCACCCACCAACTTTTTTTCTTAAAAAACATTTTTAATGTACTTATTCATTTTATTAAGGTGTGAAAATCTGTGCCGTTGAAGATTGAAACAACATTAATTTAAGTCATTATATCACAAAATAATGACTCAATAAAAGTCATAACATAGGTTCACAACCATGCTAAACCGTTGCGAGCAGTGCGAGCTTGGATGACATCAATAAAAATTTAAAAGGCGCACCTTTCGGGGGCAGAGCACCACCTTTCAAATGCAGGCAAGCAAAAACTTTGCTTATAGTGTCACGCAAGCAGAGCGGCAAGGAAACATAGCAAAAAAAACAAAGCGCACAGCCTTCAAGAGACTATGAACATGTTTGAAACAGACTAACAACAATCTCCATTTTTTGTACATTTAAAGCGCACTCAGAGTTATTGCTACAAATGGGTGAAGAAGCCTTCAAAAGCTACAAAAGCGTACAAGAATAGAGGGATCGTAAATCTTCGCCTTGAACAGTTAGTGGTATCTCCATGCTAGCGCAGGCTACACCAGGGTGGAGATTTAAACTGTGTGGTAAACTAAGTGTACACACCCCCTGGCGCATACCTTTATACGCACCCAACATAAAATTTTCACGCATGGCTCACGCACTTTTTTCCATCGCAACCAAAGACCCCACCACTGAAACCAACACTGCAATTTTTTAACAAGTTTTTTCACATTATCGCATTAAAAGCATTAAAAGGTGGAACATACCAGCATTACGAACAACAGGTCTTCGAGCAGCTTGTACTCTTGTTTAGCCAAGGGGAGGACCCCAATGGGCTCGGGCTGGAAGACAGCAATGGCAATAAGCAATGCAATAAGCAATCGCAATAAGTTTTTTTTTTCATACCACACATTGTTATACTGGTGTCACACGGGCACTTTTAATCGCGAACAGCATTGATCCGGATTAACCACGATCCATATCAGGTGCTCCTACACGGTCATTTTTAATCATGATCAGGCATGACCGGATCAAGAGTATCGCGATCCAATCATCGCAATCTGCCTGAGAGATTGCGATTCTGCTGTGGTCTGCATCCTCTAGCCCAGCTTGTTTAAAGCACAATAAACAAGAAAATCGAACATAGTTCTATAAAAACACTTGAAGTCAGCTAGATTATAGTTTATAAAAAAAGCAAATTCTAAACTGTTTAAATTAGAAAAACATCTGAAGTATTCCATATTTTAGGATTCGCATGACCACATGTATTTACAGGAGAAGCAGACGACAAACAGACGACAAGCAGTCGATGGTTGCCTTCAGCCCATACCTTATTTATTCGCGTAATGAACACACATTTTTCTTGAAAAATCGGAGCAAGGTTGGGGAGTGCGCTTATTACATGGGGTAAATTTTATGAAAACTTTTTCGGGAGGAGCAAAAAATGTGCTAATGCAAAAAAAAAAGGTAGGGCACTTGGCCTTTCACAGTTTACATACACGTACACTGTTTGGAGACAGCTTCTTTGTTGGACTTAACTCATCTTCGATGATTAACCGCACTATATTCTGCAAGCTGTCCCTGAGCCACCGGTGCACGCCATAAATGTTTTGTAGCTATCTTTTCTCACAATGGTTTAAAAACACAACTATGGTATCTGCTGTGATCTCTAGGTGCGCCCAAAAACGTGTGCTACATGCTAGGCTACCGATGACCCTACAACCACACTTTGCCAACTTGGCAAGAAGCGACCCACCACCGACTAACCAACGTTTGAGCACCTCAAAGCAAACTGTTTATGAGTGTCGCAAGACTGCGTCGCAATGTACGCGCTCTTAGTGGTTGAATAAAGAGACATTTACAGCAATTGACCGCTGGCAGGAGCGACTGGAATAGACTTGAGGTGCCAGAAGTGAAACACTGGCACGTACAACGAGATTGACGCTTCACTGTGACTATACGGCTACGAGTGGGAGCCATCAGAAGTAAAAGTGAAGGTTAAGAATTTCACACAGCCTTACAGGCAAGTGCTAGGAAAATTTTATCAAATTATGGATTTATGAAATTAGTATTGTAGTGACACACAAATTTTTTGGCATTTGAGCGGCTCTTGCACAAATAACATTGCTGATAAAGGGCTCTATAGATATACCCTACGCCGAGTTTTGACAGTGGCATGTTAAACGGCAAGCAAATGCCACCTGGAGCATTTCATCTAACCCAAGCTTGAACCGCATTAGCTTGAGCCGTGTAACAGCGGTCATAAAATTGATTGCGATCAAAAAACTGATCTGGATCGCCCTGATCACGATTTTATGTACCCTTGTTACACCGGTATTAGTCGCACAAAATGGGACAAAAGCAGTAGTGCGAGAGCAAAGACTACAGCAGTGTACGTTTGTAGTACTTTTTTAGCATGTTCTTTAGTTTGTAAACGAACTAAATACACGCAGTGTCTGAAGATGTTCACGAAAAAGCCAGAGCAAACAACAAACACTCCTACTATGCGAAAGCCAGCTGATAGAACTCTTTGGACGAGGGTCTTGTGATACAATCTTTCCAATTACAAGAGCTTGTTCTGCAACCAACCTTTGGGTCTCTCGATGATCGAGGAAACGGAGCGAAGTCCCAGGATACTTTAGAGTCGTTCACGTAAATACCAGAGATGACCAGTTCCACGACAGCTGCGCATAACAGGAACAGAAAGTGTGATGTGGCATAACGATTGCATCAAAAAAACTGCACGATGAAGAGGATTTGGACTGACAACACATTCATGCACACTGTCCTCACGAAATGACATGCGCAGGCAGTGATACAAAGCCATTACTTTTGTTTAACTCTTTAATTGCTGAATTTTGAAACTGCGAAGCACAATCACAAATTCTTGTATTTTCCAGCCTTAAATAGCACCCTTTAAATGATTCCACACTTAAATTATCTAACGTGCCACTTTAATGCATACCTTTATGTATCTCACGAATTCTCGATGTGCCACAAAAGCAAGGACCTCGCAGCAGAAAACATGCTTCAAAACATTGTATCATGACATCTGCCACCTCCTGTGTGCGTACACACTAAATAAACAAGCCAAGAAAAACAAGCGAGAGCTGTTGCACACACTGTGCGCTCTCAGTCATCAACTAAAAAACAATTGATTCTAGCATGAAATACCTTAGACGAGATGCTATATTTTTCATGCTGAAAGCTACATTCCCCGTGAGTACTTCCAAGCTGGCATTAATGCCTGCACACATTTCGAGACTTACGTGCTAGAAGTCTCAGTCCGTCACGAATTCGCGACACTCGGGACTTAAATACAACATAATACATCTTAAATGGTTCTAGGACAAACCACTGATGACTCGTGTAAAACAAAACCTAAAGACATCACGATTATGTTCCATTTAACTAGAGTTCCATTAAATGAGAAATGAACATGGGTGCAGAAGTCACCAATGAAACTAATCATGTAAGAGACAGTTTTATTTGAGAAGCAATCCCGTTTGATAAATTTCTATTTACTGAGGGTCTACCGTTTGCCCACGTTTGTTCTTTAACAGCTTGAAAACCATTTAATTGGCTTCCAGCATATTCGGGCCCTATCTGACGAAAAAAATCTACCCGTTTACAGTACGAAGTTAAGAAAAGCTCTCAACATATCAATGAAGTGAATGATGATGAGTTGGCGACGCAGTGGGATCATTCCGTGTTACCGTTAATCGCCTGTGACATTGACCAATCACACATGTAAATGAGTCACAAGGTGGTGACAGTTCCACTAATGTTTACTGGTCCTAACTGGCATGTTGTGTTGAGTTGTGAATTTCGTTTTGGTTTCATTATTACTGTTCTGTGTTGATCTGTGGTATTGAATCTAGCCTGAAGTTAACGAACACAAGGTATGCGCACTTTCCCCTGGAGGTTGTTGGTTGTTTCCAGTCATACGAAATGCATCGTAGAGCATATCGAGACGTCATATACTGAACAAGCCAGTCATCGTCCGTGATCATCATCATCATCAGCGCCATAGACATGGCGTATAGTGGGTGCCTTGCATGTGCTTTGCCGTGGTGGCAGAAAGAGAATGTGAGGTCTGGAACGCACCTGTTCATCACCATCTGCAGCATCACCATCATCACCATCATAATGAGCGGCGGCTACAGCGCACAACGCCAACAGACAAGCCTCGACCATAAGGAGTTTTCAACCCTAAAAAATTTTTTACCTCAGTCTTCTCATAAGATAAGGCATTCAGTTCAGGAATTATTTGTCCTGGTTAAGGATTCAGATGCAACAACGATGCCCTTCTGGGGTGGTCGCTCAACCATTTCAGATATTCAAAAAGCTTGAAAACTGCTGCGCGAGGTCAAATCTACACCGTTCTATACGGTATGAATCAATTGACAAGTCAAAGCACACAGACATGAAAATGGCTAAATAAATACAGTGGAATTTCGATTATAATCGCCCATTTTCACGACGACCCGCATTTTGCAACAAATCTGCTAGGTCCCGGCGAAATCCCCTTAGAAATAATGTATTAAAATCCTTGGTTATATGACACATCTTTACGCCGACCCCGCACCTTTCGACGACATTCAGATTTCGTCTAAAAGAAAGAACACCTAAAACACGTCTAAAAGAAAAAGAAACGACGCCAACCACGTCCGTAGTGTTACCAAGTAATATTGTTCAGCACCGTTGCGAGCACGACAGTGC